CCTAAGTCCCTCAATAAAATTAAACTACTATAAAATAAGACTCCCAAATAAAATATCTAAGCCTAATGATTGAAACTTGAAAAACTAATAATACACTCAAAAAGAATAATAATTACATAACAATACTAAATAATGTAAAGACCTATTCAACTATTGCTTCTTCTTCTTTATCATTCTCACCTTGTAACACTCATAAGCAAATACCACATCAACAAAGCACAAGAGTGATGTAGGGTATTTAAGTCAACACCTATTAACCCTTGTTGACGCATTTTAAAACCGTGAGACCCAATGGCTCAAAGTGGACAATATCCTTAGTAGGCTAAGTTATCATGTATGGTATCAAAGCTGGCCAAGCAGACAATATCCCCTGGGTAAATTTTGAGGTTGCAAAATGCCTTCACGAAAGTAGAACATCACTTGACTTAAATTCTCCATCTAAACCCAACAAACTAGATAATGAAAAGTTTTGTTTTGTGTCAAACATTGTTGAGAATCCCGCCCCCAAAATGCATCACACCTAAAGAAGGTACAAGAAAACCCTAAAAATGAGCACAGTGTGACTCTATACACCTTTAGGTGTGATGTTTCTCTCCCAACTTTTTCCTTAATCGTAGGTTGGTCCCTAAATCTTGTTGACGCATTTTAAAACTGTGAGACCCAATGGATCAAAGTGGACAATATCCTTAGTAGGCTAAGTTATTATGTATGGTATCAAAGCCAGCCAACCAAACAATATCCCCTGGGACATTACACTCCTTAGATAAAACTGGACCTCAAGTGTTGAAGTAGTAAAAATTTTGAGGTTGCAAAATGCCTTCGTGAAAGTAGAACATCACTTGACTTAAATTCTCCATTTAAACCCAACAAACTTGATAATGAAGAGTTTGGTTTTGTGTCAAACATTGTTGAGAGAATCCCACCCCCAAAACTGCATCACACCTAAAGAAGGTACAAGAAAACCCTAAAAATTAGCATGGTGTGACTCTATACACCTTTAGATGTGATGTTTCTCTCCCAACCTTTTCCGTAATCTTAGGTTGGTCCCTAACCCTTGTTGACGCATTTTAAAACTGAGACCCAATTGATCAAAGTGGACAATATACTTAGTAGGCTAAGTTATTATGTATGGTATCAAAGTCAGCCAAGCAAACAATATCCCTTGGGTCGTTACACTCCTTAGATAAAACTGGACCTCAAGTGTTGTAGTAAAAATTTTGAGGTTGCAAAATGGCTTCGTGAAAGTAAGAACATTACTTGACTTAAATTCTCCAGTTAAACCCAACAAACTTGGTAATGAAGAGTTTTGTTTTCTGTCAAACATTGTTGAGAATCCCACCTCCAAAATTGCATCACACCTAAAAAAGGTACTAAAAAACCCTAAAAATGAGCATGGTGTGACTCTATACACCTTTAGGTGTGATGTTTCTCTCCTAACTTTTTCCTTAATCTTAGGTTGGTCCCTAATCCTAGGTTGGCCACATCACACCTAAAGAGGATAGAAAACCCATAAACATCACATGTAAAGTTGGTCACATCACACAACTAATATTGCATCACACAATTTAACAAGAAACTCTTGCTAATAATTTATGACACATACTTGACTACTTAATAATGAAAGGCTTTACAAATATATAAAGATATTCCTAAGACTCCTACCTTAACAAAGAAATAGAATTCCTATTCTAATACTAGACTAGAACTTAGATTCATGATAAAAATAATAATACTCAATTACATAAAGATAAAATTCTAATAAAACTAGGAAAACTAATAATACACTTAAAAATAATGACTACATAATAATCCTACATAATGTAAATAACTATTCAGTTATTACATTTTGCTCCTTATTACATTAGCTTGTCTACAATGAATGTTGTAAAATATTTTTATAGGCATCTATAAAATGATTCTATGTACATGGAAACTATGGAATAATGCATTAGACTAGGAATTAGAGAATAAAAGTGCACTGAACTCACCAGTTGATAATCTTCCAATATGCCTAGTCAAGCTCCCAAAACCACCAAAAGACACTGGAGATTGTATCCCACTAGCATCACCAAACTGCATAAAACAAATTTGTAAAACTTGCCGTTCATTTTTTATGTCTCTATAATTCATTGGCGGCTTTAGAAGTTAAAATAAAAGTTACCTGTAAGATGCGATTATATGCTGCTGGCAATGGACTGTCAGGTTGATCATTAAAAATTAGAAAAAGATGGCAAGATTTAGAGAACAAAAAAACAAAAATACTCAGCATGTTTAACTCAATCAAATACATTTTTCAAAAGTGATAGAAGAAACCATAACTGATAAGCTTGCATTTGACTAGCAAAAGCAGAACACTTCAGCATTTTAGAGATTACGTCTCAACATATATTGTTGTCAGGGAGATATATAACAGCTCATTTTAGGATATATGTTACTAGACTTAAAATCAAAGAACTGAAATAAACAAGCAAGGTTCAGTCAGGACAAAATTAGACATGGAAGAATAATCAACAATTTGTCTCAAGCATCCAATTTAGGAAGTGGTTGAGACCATAGCTACTGTAAATATTCCTAAGTTGATCAAACTTGATGGTACAGGTAATAATTACCTGTCACGATAGGTGGGGAAAATGCCATATATAACTCTCAAAATTTCCAGATTATCAATAGAAACTCCCTACAAATTACAAAATACAAGTTGCAATCTGTTACTTATTTGCATCATATAAATTAGTATGGCTGACATTAAACTAGACACATTTCTAGAAGTATGAATAAGTAGAAGTTTGTTGATTGTGTCATGTTGAATCCAGAAGGATAGAACAGCTACCAGAAAGCATGTTTATGTAAATGATAAAGAAATTCAGCAAACTGATAATAAATGAAGCAAAATAGAAGAAAAAGGATCAAGAGCTGCCTTAGCATAGTGTGCTCTTTTATCTTTTGAAGGCCAAATGAAAGACTACACTAAAATGTGCAAAGTCTAGAATAATTATCTTCAGTAGAGCTACTTCCAAACCTAGTACATATTCACTGCTCAAGGTATGATGTGAATTTGATTGGAATAGAGTAGGAAGAATTCTTTCATCCTAAGACACCAGCTAAATTGCATGCTCACTCAATGGTGCCAGATAATTAGAAGACAGAGCACCATTTAATCCTTTAAGAATCAGGAGATGTGGGGAAGAGAATTGCTTCTTTTTCTTTGATTCGTGTTACATACTATTATTTCTATTTCCTAGATAACATAAAAAATTTGGATGCCCTTTTCCTCTGCTCCACCGTGTAAAAATGTCACAGCTGTGCACATTGTTGAAATTAGTTCTACATCCCTTTCATTTGTCATCGTTATATTTAGTGCTGTTATCTAAATCTAGCCATATCTTCCCCTTATTATCTTAGAAGAAGTAACTACTCATAGGAAAGGTACATGCATTAGTATAAGTACAAACTTCAGACCAATGGTCAGCACCTTGCTTGAAATTGAAACCAAACATGCAAAAATTGCTAACATATGAAAATCACTAAGCAAAATAGAGGAGAACAGGTAAATATTAAATTTTTAGGCTTATAACACGCAAGAGAGCTGAGTAGGTAGATTTGAAGAAACAATTGGAAAACCACACATGTTTCTGAGGTGAAAGAAACTTAACAAGAAAGATTCTAAACCATTGTGATGCAGAACTGTGAAAGTGAATCCATAAAAGCATTGTGCATTTCTGAATACAAACCTGATACTCTGGCATCAAATCCCAATAGTCTTCCAATAAATCTTCTAATTTTGGAGAACCTGGCTGAGGGTTAACATAAGTAAACATATAAGTGGTACGATCCAAGGGACCAGACCCAGCTGGAAATGCCTGCAGAACATGAAAATTATATGATTCTCTACCACAAAAGATCTGTATTGATGTTAGTGATCAACTCTAGCAATACACTCTACCTCCCAAAAGTACTGTACTTCTGTGTCTCCAACCTTTTTCAGAGATGAACTACTATATATGACATCACTTGTAGAATTATCCTTGAAACCACGGGCACAAGATCCAACGACAAGGCAAACACCATCTGGCTTTCTTCCACATCTTATCTGTAAGGTTATTTGATGTTTTATTTGAACAATTCATGAGAAAATAGTGAAAAGAGAATAAACTCCTAAGTACACAAGCATACATCAAGTATTTGCAAGATCATTGACCTGACCTGTTTCACCAAAGGTGAAAAGTTTCCCATTGCATCAATGATGAGGTGAGACGATAAAATGTTTCCTTCAGCAAGTTGCAAGACCTATATAACAATATGCCAAGAGACTATCAACATGAATAGTGGTTATGAACTACAAATGCTAATCCGAGTTTAACAGAATCTTTCCACTACCATTAACATTTGTAGGGTGATCTTATGTATGGTAAAAGGTGCTGCTTCACATCTGTTTGTACCTAGAATGAGAAAAATCTTGTGCAAATTTTAATCCATCAACAGTCCACCATTAAAATTTAATGATTTTATTATTCTTAATCATTATGGTGGCCTTCTTCATGTATTCTTAGTAGCACAATCCTTTAAGGTACTTCTACTGTTCATTAAACATCCTTCTTTTCTAATTTAATTACATCAAAAATTTTCCTACTCTTCCATTTACAGAGCCACATTTAACAAAAGATTTCGAGTCAAACCTGTCAACAGGATCAACAAGTTTGCTGCATTGAACTAGTTGGTTGTCCTTTTGTTTTCCAGTTTCTCTTTTTTATTAACCAGAGCATGATAAAAGCATAGTCACTGTTTTCTTGATCTGAGTCTTTGTTATAAGTAATGGCAAAACTTCCAATCATCTTTAAGAAAGCAGAAGTATGCCACCAACTCAATCTCTTTGCAAATGACAAAATTGACTAAACTTAAATGTCTCTAACTATCATATAACTTCCCACAGATCTGTAAACTCACTGCTGCATCATCATATATGCCTATGCTGGACACGCAATAACCCTCAAAGATCACACCACCAAGGGAAATAAAACGATTCTTCATAATCTCTATAAGCTTCACAGGCCTGTTAATAATAAGAATTAAAAAGGCATAAGTTTTAGAATATAATGAACGACAGATTAACATTCAGAGCCAAGTTAAGATGTGACATTATAATTCAAGATTGACTACAAAGGGTATACTTGATAGAAATAATAGAAAAGTAAAATGATTTGCACTTATGGAAAAGTAGGATGATACAAACTACATCTTTCCAATTAATTTGAATAAATATTTTTGCAGTTGCTTGGTAAGGCAGAATATTTAGAAGAGAGTAAATGAAAAATATCATTTTAACATTATGACCTATTCAAAGATCAGTTATCTTCCTTGCAATTATTTCAAAATTAAGAGGCAAATACAAAAAATCTGACATCTACTTTTTCTCTTTTCCATTTTCTGCCCAATTCCCAATCCAACCAGGCAACCAACCATATAGATAAATAGCATTTAAGGAAAAAACAAGTTTTCTTCAATTTTTTTCCCCTTGTATTCTCTCCTACCAAGCAAGAGAATATTATTTATTTTGGATTCATTTAACACTCCTTTTTTCCTCCCAGCCTTTGTGTCCAGCACAATGATAATAATTTTATTATTTTATTGCTGAAAAAAGATGGTTCCAGTTAAACTCTGGATACATAAAAACTAAGGTCCAAGTAGTTGTCTAGTAATTGCTGCAGTACAGGAGGATTCTCAGTATGGGTGCTCGCAGTGCAGATTGGGTCGAATTTTAACATTTTTAAAACCAAACCAATTTAATTGGTTAGTAAAATTATTAAATCAATCCAATCTACTATTATTTAATAACCAAACCAATCCAATAGATTGGATTAGTGTGGTTCAATTAGATTGATCAGTTTTTAACATTAGTTTTAATATATTTGATTAGCTAAAAAATTAGAGTATTAAACTATAAAAAACACAATTATAAAGCACAATAACGTTATAGACAACAAAATAATAGTACCAACTACTAGATTGAAGTAAGAATTAAGAAGACAGCAAAAAATAAAATAAAAAAGTAAGAACTAGTAAAGCAACCAAAACATGCAAGCACACACTATTACTGCTTAAGAAAGTAGAGAATTTTGATAATAGGGCTTTAGTTTGTATAAGGGATGATTTAGGGCTTCACTATTTTTTAATTAAGTTAATCAAGTTATGTTGCTCAATTATAGAAATAAAAATAAAATAAAATAATGATATCCAATATAATTAATATTATATTACACGATAAAAAATATTATACTAAAGAAATAAGAAAAGCAAAACAAGAAAAGAAAATTTTAAATACAATTTGAATACAAATGTAAAAATTTTAAAAATATATTTATCAAGAAAATACAGAAGTAAAAATATTATATTATTTAATTAAGTTATTTTGTAATCAAGCTGTTCGGATGGTTTGAAGGTAAAATTACAAACCAAACCATTTATATTGATTTTAAAATTTTATAATCCAAACCAACCCAAATTGACATCAGTTTGAATTGGATTTTAATCAGATTGGGTCAGTTTTGATCGGATATGAATAACCCTAATTCCCAGTATGGAAAGAAAGCCTCCCACCTCAATAGGACTGAATTGTGAAGGCAAAACTGAATCATTCATTTTCCTTCTAAGTCTTTTGTGACTCCCAGCTGGTTTGTTTGAGCTAACGAGTACTTCCAAAGCCCTAAGTCCAACATGAGCAGCTCTATTTGCTTATGGCCTAATCTGACACATGCAGTTTGCAACAGTTTTCTTGGCAAAAAATCTTGAAGCTTTCTGTAGAAGAATTTCCATATAAAAGACATAAAAAGTAGTTTGACAAACACACATGAAGCAGTCAGCTTCCTTCACCTATTCCTATATGCAATAAAGTCCAACTAAACTTACTCAAGCTTTTAATAAAAAATAATAGCAAGACTTCCAGGAAGAAAAAATATATTAGTTCCATAACTAATTCAATCCTGGTATCCATTATAATGGAAAGGAAAAGAAAAACTGAAGAAAGTAAGTTATTTCGATTGTCTCAAATGCAACACAGAACACCTAAATGAATATTGGCGCAGAGAAACTAATCTTCCAGCCAAATGAATATGTAAATAAGTTATTGACAAGAAAAACCATACTTTGCTTTATGAAAAGTCATAAAGAGTGTATATACAAAAAGGGGAATACTCACGAAACTCCAAGGTTAAGAATGCCTTCAACCCAGATTTCACCCTTATTCTGAAATCCACATCTATTCTGTCCAGTTTATAAATGCCAAAAACAAATATAAGTAAACAGCATCAGAGAAATTAGGCAGTGAGCTAGTCACAGGAAGAACTTTAAAGAACAACTATTTATAAGAAGAACAAGCCCCAAAAAAGTGGCTTCTAAGAGAACAACTTAAGTACCAGAAATTTTGGTAGAGAAAGTTATTTTAGATCATTTCAGGACAAGGTCATAATCTTTTTCAGTTAAGAAATAAAACTTCCAATAAGTAGAATTACATTTTGACAAGTAGAAGTTTCATATTTCCAGTAAAGAACCATCACAAGTGAAAACAAAGAGAGACACAGAGACCATGATAATGATAATATATGGGTTCTATATGGGTGTTTATATAAGTGACAGCTAAATGAATATTCTAATCCTTATTCAAGTTTAGTTATGAAAAGAAATCATAGAACAAAATATGACAAGTAACAATTGTGGAATAGATTTAAGATAAAAATGGCATGGGAATATTTCTTTATACATTTTTTGGGAAGCACTACAAACAGAGTCCAGGCAAGAGTATCATGTTAAATGGTTCTAACTGTGATGCTGCCTATCATTTATAGAGATCAATGCAAAACTTCAAAATGAGAAAAAAAAAAAAAAATCCTTTTGGGAAAATTTCAGCTAACAGGGATGGTTTCCTTAAAAGCCTTTTGATGGAAAGAAATCAGCATGTAACATGGCCATTGGATCATTTGTCTGGCATCAATATAACTTGCTTGTGCAATTGTATTCCACATTCCAATTTGGAGCATACACTAAAAGATAGATAACCAACAATCACTAATCAAGTCATAAAGTTCAAGAAACTTACAGGATTGAATGCCACAGCTGTAGCTTGTTCAATGTCATTTTCATCCAATATGCCAACTTCTACCAGTTCCATAAGCTCTTTCCTCGAGATATTCCATTCTTGTTCCCTCTAATAATTATTACCAAAGTATCATTAAAATCTCTTGCAACAACAATTATTCTTTAAAGCAAATTCTTCATGCTATAAAGCAGCTCCACAATGAACTCCAAAGTAAAGCATACCCCTTTTAGGATATTTCTTTCCACAACTCCAACTCGGAGACCTTTGCTACTCAAGGCTGTGGCAATAAAGATGCCTAAAGTACCTCCACAAACTACCACATCAAATATATCCACTGCTTTTTCAGCCAGACGAGAATGACTTAAAATACCAGGAAAACTAGAAACTACTTGCTGAGGCTCTCGCTGAACTGCAAAGAGAAGTGAAGTTTACATACTTTTCAGGGTGTATTCACACCTAAATTTTGCTGCATGATGTGGAATTGAGAAAAAAAAGAAAAAAACTACCTGTTTGTGCGGAACAGATACTTGACCAAATATTATCCAGCCTCTTCAAGGCATCATATGAGTATGCTCCACCAGCACCACCAACCTCATCACTCATCGAAATTCTTTCCATTATTTTCTACGAAGTTGAACCAAAAACAGATCAAAATCAATTGGCATTCACATTGAAATTTTTTCAACATTCACACATTCAATCCAGAATCAACCCTTCCCTCTAGCAATTATTCCGCTGCTCCACCCCCAAATCAACCACGGTATTTATAAACCATTTCTACTAGGAAGTCTTTCTACTTGTCCAGTGTCACTTTGTAGTAAACAAACAGAAAGTAAAGGAAATTTTTACCTGGGTTCTAGAGGCAACGGCTTCTTCTGCTCGCATGAACACTTCTCTTCTAGTTCCTTCCCTTTTTCTCTGAACTACTGGAGACATTGATGTGTGCCTTAAAACCCCATTACAAGGTCTAAACTGAATCATCATCATCAAAGTGAATTTCAGAAAGAAAAAGGAACAAGACCTATTTTCTTTCTCAATCAGATTCTCTTATCATGAAATGAAACCACTCAAAATTGAGAAAGTATGTATGTGCTACAGAACTCGACACGTTAACGACCAAAACGGCTCTCCCATCCCCTTTCTATTTTTCATAAAATAGCCAAATGAGAAAAAAAATAATAATAAAGAGGTGACCGGAAGACGCTGTAGCAGATGGGAAAAAGCCGTGACAGTGAGTGACCTACAGGTGGCTTTAAGAATTCTCTACGGCCTCCGGATAAACCTTTGCGAAAACCACCGGAGGAGTTTTAAAATTGGCCATGTCGTCTTCGTCGCTGCTCGTTCGTCTTCCACTCTACAAGATAGATATATATATATTCTTCAACAGGTAAAGTTTCAGTCTTTTTTTTCATTTTTATCCGTTTGGCTTCTTAGAAAATGGGGAAACCTAGAACTTTTTTCTTTAACTGTTTTTAGCTCTGTGTTTGGAGTACAGCCACTAGGAATGCATATGAAGCTCATTGCTAATTTTGGTTAATTGATGAAAATTAATGACAATTTTCGCTTTCTCGAAAGTGGTTATATTAGCTGGAAGCTGCAGTAGATGAAAAGAAACATTAAAATGTATAATTGAAGGATTTTGCCTGTGTTGATATCTAGAACTCGATTGCGCTAAATTAGTGACGACTTCCCTATTTTTGCAGAACTAATTTGCAGGTTTGAACTCTTGAGATTAAAAGCTAGCAATTGTACTGCATGGTTATGGCAAGTGTGATAATGGCCCCAGCTCTTGGCTTCTTCTCTATGAAGAGAAGCAGCAGAGGTTCTGGTAAGTCAAACGGTATAACTGGGGCATCTCATGGCGAAAAGGCAATGCGAGTGGACAAACCCTTGGAGGAATTGTACAATGTGAGGTTGGAAAGGAAAGTGTCGCCAGAACGGCTGGCAGAGCTTGGGGTTTCAAGATGGTCAGTTTGGAAGACTGGCAAGTGCAAGTTACCATGGGACTGGCAGGTTGATCAGTTGGTTTACATTGAGGAAGGAGAGGTGAGGGTGGTTCCTGAAGGGAGTGAACGGTTTATGCAATTTGTGGCTGGGGACCTTGTTCGTTATCCAAAGTGGTTCGAGGCAGACCTCTTCTTCAATGGTCCATACCAAGAACGTTACAGTTTCCGGGCATATGGTGATGACTCATAGTCCAGCATTTTCATACTTTGGCATGGAGTTGTCCCCTTCTGTCTTGCTTTAACTTGTTTCCAGTATTTGCCATACTTCTATGATTTTGAAGGTGGGGTCAAACAACAACTATTGTACTGCTACTACTAGGTTCTGGGTTCCGAGGTATCTGCTTCCCCCATTATTTACAAGATATTAGTTAATGTATCAAATTTTTCTCAATTTGTAGTTGTACTAAACAGTGCCCAACACTGGCCACCGTACCTGCGAGAGTGGAAATTAGTTGCAGTTTAGAACACTACTTGTCTATGAATAGAAATTTTTACTTTCAATTTCAAGTTATTTATCGCTATGGCATAATGTATGAAATGTGATGGCATTGACAGCTGTTAAGAGAAATTCTAAGGCTGTTATGATCTTTAATGTATGCATTGACCTGCTGAAATTACTGCAGGAGAGTACTAAAGCAAGTATGCTTACGGTTTACCTATTCCCTTCTCGCTTTTACTCAGAATATCAATAAAGATCATGAATTAGTGATGATGCAACCCTTAATAATAGATAGGAGCATCTACATGTGAAGACTACAGGTAGATTTGGTTAGGAAAGCAAGTGCCCTTCGCAAGCTAAAGAGGAGAATTAGATCTTTTTCTTTTCCTTTCTTTTCTTTTCTTTTCTCTCTTTTTTTGCGGTCAGTGGAGACTTAGATCTTTTGGTATATTAGAACTTTAGTGTTTCCCCAAAATCCTCCTTATGACCACCGTGTGGCAAAATAGTGCAAGCATACCACTTATTTTGCTCAAAATAAAAAAGATAGTTTCCTTAATGACTCTCTCTTTCAAGCAGTCAACCTCTATTTGGGATAATTAGAAGCACATCTACTATGTGTTTACAATATATCTCAAACTAAAGAATGTTCCTAGAATGAAGGATGTTTTCCTATAAAATGGGTTATAGTGTTGTATTGGACAACTCCAAAGACTACCACATCTAAAGTCAAAATGAAGTAAGTTAATGAAATAAAGTAAGAAAGAGAGAGAGACTTGAAAGAAAATAAGAGTGCATCATAAAACTGGGCAGACTAAAACTAAAGAAAATTATGAATTTTAACTTGAAAAGTTACTAAGTTAACAGCAGAATTCAACATGCCTCATTTCATTATAACTAAGCTACTTAAATTATTAATACTCATTTTTACTTCTTAAATCAATTTTTAGAATGTTTTTAACACTAAAAAGGGAGAAAAAAATGCTTTCATTGTTGCTAGGGATTTCTTAGATGGCTGAAGAAAGGTAAAATTTACAATATAGACATTCCTTCTCGCTTGGATGAACAAGGATTTCAAATGGAAGATGGAAGTCCATCTGAGATAGAAGTTTGAAAACAAAAAGCGACCACGTTTTAATTAAGTTTCTGCTTAAAATATTTTGCCAACAAGCTGCTCTACACTTTAGTTTATACTTTGTAGGTGAAAACAATAATTATTTTTAATAAATATAAATAAATTTTAATTATTAGAAATAAAAAAATAAATGATTAAAATTTTATATAAATATAATCTATATTACTTATGCATCAATGGATTTTTACTCGTATATATAAAAATAACACCATATACTGTATATTGAGATAGCATGCGCAACAACCTTGATTAAGGCTTCCTTCCCAGCCTTCAACAGTAATTTGTTCTATCTCTCTTGTCACTCACTTTTTCTTCATGTGGCTTTCTTATTTGGTCCCTTTTTTCTATCTCTCTCATTTTTCACTTTTTTTTTTCATATTTCTTTTATTTGACACACTCACAAGTCACAAGTTTTACTAAAAGTTCATTACCATTTTTCTCCTAATTTTTTGTTTTTCAAGGCACCTCAACATCAAAAAGTTATGGAGTTCCTTTTTATCTTTTAACAACAAATCAAAATTCAATGTCTTATATGCCCTTTACTTTGTCTCTCTCTTAATTGATGCCTTTTTTATTCATTATAATTTTTCACTTAATATATTTCTTCAACTCCAACATCAAACTCTCTTTTCACGGCAAAAGCTTAAAAATAACCCCTTACCTTGATAAATTGGATGGTTTTGGCCCCATTACCTTATAATATAACGGTTTTAGTCCCTAATTTATAATAATAGAAGAAAATAGCCCTTTTTTGTAACTTTCGTCATAGGACTGTTACCGCCCGTCACTTCCGTTACTCCCTCCATTATATTTCCGTTAACTTTGTCCTGCTTATATAATAAATTAAAAAATAGAAAAGCTTCTCCAAGAAGCCT